TTCTCTGTGCCACAACCATCACTACACCAGCTGCCAAACGAGTGCCTCACCTGATGTGCCACAACTCTCCGCCATTATTTATCGAAGTTCTGTTGTTGCTATGGTTAAGTATCATCTCACTTGTCTTCTACTTTCTGTTTATAATGTCTTAAAATAACCCTTTATGCATTTGCTTATCCGCCATGTTTATTATTTTCTCAGTTTATCGAATAATTTGGTACATACATACATACATATAACTTCCAATTAACCAGGAAACAGGAAACATGAAGATATCATCAATTTCATTTTTTTGTATTAATAAAGGTCTGCCAAAATAAAAAATATATATATAACTACATAAACCTTGTAATTTTTTTGGTAATGCAACAAAGAATACAGTACTATCGCATCTCACTCTGTTGCTAAGAATAATACATAACATAATAGAGTGCTGGCAGCACAATTCGTGACACTGATACGCAATTGTTAGGTTTTACTTCTGTACTGTGCATTTTTATTAACAGTATTTTGTGCATTTAAAAAACCACAGCCATCCATATTTTACTGTTTGGATAATATGTGACTACGGATATCGATAATTAGGATAAGATTATATTTGTTATCGTTATGTTAGTGTGATGGACAGACACAGACAGACAGAGACAGACAGAAACACACACACACACACACACACACACACACACACACACACACACACACACAACACCATTAGCTACGTATCTGCATCACCTGAATCCAGTATGGGCTGTTTTGGCTTAACTATTTATAGTTTAGTTCGTGTTGTATCTAGTATACAATATCTTTGAAAATAACAGGTGAGTTTATTTTTTTTATATACCAACATTGACAAAAATGTAAGTCGAAAATGCAAGTAATTAGTTTTTTAGATAGTGAATGAGCTTATAGTAATATTAGTTTTAACAAATCCAAACAATAGTCGAATGTTTGTAAAAAAAAAACAATAAATGATAATATGGTGATATTATTTACGTATCGTTTGTACATACAACATACAAAGTCCAGATAAATGCGGAAGTGAGAATATTCGGAAGGCAAGTATAAAAACCATCATCTGTACATTTTAGTGTAAAATTTAGACTATCAGACGCCACTACCAGCAGCCTGTAGTAGATCAGCAGGTGTTGGGTGTGTGCAGGTAGAGTATTAGTGACAGTGTGTGGTGGTATAAGAGAGGTGGTAAAGTAGGCTGATTAGGAGTATCAGGGTTTAGGCTCACTTCTTCTGTCTGCCAGCCTAGTCCCTTTTACATACATACATGTTATTACATACATACATACATTCATATGACATGCACATAGCATACATGTACATACACTTTACATGGTTCATCTTCAAAAATATAACTGGAATTATATGTTGAGAGTAATGACTGTCAGGTGTGTGTGTGTATACCTACGTATAGATTAGTGTATTGTACAATTGTCGAAGGATGGTGGTCGTGTCCGTAGGTATGCGGAGCCAAAGGAGTATCATACTTGTTATTAAGTATTATTATTATTATTTTTTTATCAGCATTTTTTTTTAATTATCGGTACCGAGTTAAGTATTATTTTATTTTCTTCCTTCTCTTCTTTCTTTTTCTCGTTTTATTATTATTATTATTATTATTATTATTATTATTATTATTATTATTGTTATTATTGTTTATTTTCTTGTAGTTTGGTATTAAGACACATTATTTTACATACAGCATAACTGTCCCTAAAATGGATGATCTAGCGGTTTAGCCAATGTTAGCTAGTACTATCCCTTCCTCGTTCTGGTACTATCCTACGATCCCTGACTCATACTTATCCTCCTACGAATCTCCTTAACACACTCTCATCCTGCTGAAGGACCCCCTTTATTCACACTCCATCCTCCTACGACCCCCCACCTGCTAAAACCCCATGACCCCACTCATACTATCCTCCCACGACCCCCTAACACACTATCCTTCTACGACCCTTTATTCACTTCTTATCCCTACGACCCCCATATTTTACACTCCATATCCCATGATGCCTCACACACCATCCATCTACGACCGCACACCATCCCTCAGCCATGTCTATCCATGCATGACTCTGCTATCCTCGTAATTCTATTTTGAACGACTTCCTTTGGTCGTAGTACCATTCCTCACTTGTAATACGGCACACTACACACACACACATTATTACCCCCAAAGGACCTCTTCTTGTGCCGTCTCTAACGCCGTGTTGGTGGCCCTGTTGCCCTTCCCCTCCCTCCTCCTCATAGCGGTGGATTTGGTCATGTCGTGGCTGCTCATGGTCCACCCAGGTCCAGATTGTCGCCACTACTGCCAGAGGATGTGTTCGTCCCTGTCGCCCCAGCATGAGGTCAAAGGCCGTTCTGTGACGACTTCACCTCTTCCAACTGCACGGGCGGCATGTGTGGTGGAGTGAGTACTGATCCTCGCCACCCGTTGCCACTCTTAACTCATCAGGTTGCTGACTGTAGGTTCTGATCAGACGAATCTCGTTATAACTAACTAACTTCTAACCTAGGTTCTCACTGTAGTTTAAATCAGAGCATATGTAATCGTTGGATCTTGTAGATCATCAGGATGAATTGTAGGTTGTGAACCAGAAGTTCCAATTGTCATAACTGCTGGTTCTGATTGTTGGTAGTATAACTGCAGGTTCTACTAACCGCTGCATAACTGTAGAATCTGGACCGTTTGTATAACTCTTTAGGTTCTGACTGTTGGTATAACTAAGTTCTATCAACTGTTTGTATAACTGTAGGGTCCTACAGAGGCACAGAGGAGATTGAATCGATCACTTGAATAATATATGACTCACAGCTTATTCCACTCTGATGATTAAACACCTTTAACTTATCTGGGGGTTAGGTTAGGTTAGTTAGGTTAGTAAAGGATTAATCATCCCGTGAAATAAGTTAGTGTCTAATATCTACGTGATTCACGAAGCTAGAACAACACATCAGCACAAAACTTCCTAACTTGTAAGGCACACACACACACAATCAATCCCAAAAGTCATGATATACACCACTAACATATCAATGTACCAGTCTACCAGTCCATATGTGTGTTTATACCTCTATTCATCATTATCAGAATAATGGGGAAGTGTAACGAGGTGATTTTGAGGCATGATTTAGTGGTCAATAATAAGCGGCGTGGTGGGTAGTTTGATGTTAGGGCCAGTGTGTGTGGCAGTGATGTTTTCTTGGGGGGTCAGGTGGCTACCTGTGGAGCTTACCTGGAGGAATATGGTGATGACCTGAGTTACTCTGGAGGAACCTGGTGATGACCTGGAGTTACCTGAGG